GCAGCACCACCACTCTCTTCCCAGCTTTCTAGCTAAGAAAAAGGGTCCTTTTCTGGCTGAGCCTGAGGTTCCCCTCGGCTTTCAGGTCCACAATACCTTCTTCGAGGACCCTTAACCCCCATCTTACTTGGGTGATGTCTGAAATTCCCTGAGCCAGCTGCTCCTCGCTGTGCTCCTCTCCTCCCCAGCCCACCCCCAGCATGACCAGGGAATGGCCACACATCACTTTCCTCTCTGTGGGTCTGGGCTGCCCCAGATTTAGGTTTCACCACATCCACCTTCAATCCAGCTATCTCTCAATATTCATCAGATGGGGCACTTGAGACCACTAAAACCAGAAAGAACTGGATTTTGCCTAAAATCATGGGCCCTAGAATTAAGAATCCAAGTAACAAACTTTTGGCCTAAATACCACAAACCTTCCTCCTTTGGAATTTCAAGAGCTAAGAACTCAGAATGGGCCATCTGCCTTCTTCAGAAGGGCTCTTCCATTGCCTAAATCCTTGGGTCCCCTCCAGCTCCAGAATTCCCAAGGGCCACAGCCTTAAGGCTGTGAACCCCACAGACTACAATGTGGATGATGCCCCCAGAACAGTGCAACATGGGGGCCCTGAGAGAGCCCTTCCAGTCTCATTCTCAGGGGTGAGCTGAGAGTTATATGATTCTGAAGCCCGACTGGGATTTAGGCTCTCCTACCAACCAGTTGTGTGACCTTAGGCAAGTCACTTACCTCTTTTGAGTCTTGGTTTTCTCAGTTGTAAAAAAAAAATAAATAAAAAAAAATAAAGGGAGGGGGGACTATAAAACATACCCTAAAAGTTGTCATAAGGAATAAAGCACATGTTGAATGTATAATATTTCATCAGCAGTACAAACTCACTATGCCTCAGTTTCCTTATCTGCATAGTGATGAGAAAGTTTTGTTGGATGTTTTGCGAGAATTAACAACTTAATACATGGAAAGTGCTTAGAATTATATGTGCCATATAGTAAACATAAAGTGGTAAAATACAATTATTAGTCCTGTCAGTGTGGGTCAGTGGTTGAGCATTGACCTATGAACCAGAAGGTCTTGGTTTGATTCCAGGTCCTGACATGTCCGGGTTATGTGGACACTATCCACAATGGAGGTGGCGTGTAGGAGGCAGCCAATAAATGATATTCTCTCATCATTGATGTTTCTCTCTCTCCCTCTTCCTTCCTCTTTGAAATCAAGAAAAACACACAAAAAAATATTCAATTATTAGCATCAATTTTGCCTCCTGTACTTGCCCTGGCTGGGGATGGAACCTCCAAGCTAGGTATGTGCCCTGACTGGTAACCTAACCCACAACCTTCGGGTACATAGGATGATACTCCAACCAACTGAGCCATACTGGTCAGGGCTCTCATTTTGTTTTTAATGGCAATTAATTCTTTGGGTCCCTTTGTTAGGTATTTCCTTTGGGATGGAGGGAAGGGGAGTCTGAAAGGCTAAAAGCAATATTCAGCCAATTTAAGCTAAGACTTGCCCAGGTCAGGGCACTCGGACCATGACCTTGGGTAGGAGAGGTGGCCAGACTGGTCAGAGAAGGCAGAATAGGACTTATAAGTCATCATGAACGAAACCCCTAGTGAAGGCAAAAAGAGAGGTTCCACACCAGGTTTAGGAGGCCCATGGGACAGGAGGTAGATAGAGGAGAAACTGGAGAAGAGCTGAAGGCAAGCTTCTCCTCTCAGTTGGACTGTCCTGAGGAACCCCATTAGCATGAACGGCAAAAGAGAGTACAACCCCAATAACACTGCATCCCAAGCCTGAGGTGTGGACGGACTTGGGGACATTCAGGCTTATGTTATCCATTGCATAGGTCAACACAGCTGAGTCTGGAGACCTGGGAAAACCATCTGGAGCCTACCTCAGTGCCTGGTCTGAGGAGCAGCTCTCAGCCCTGGGAGGATGCTTCTCAGAAATGGGCAGGATCAAACAGCTTGTGATGGTGTCTGTGTGTATTCTCTTTCCTGAAATGCGAGTGTGGTGGATGGTGAACCAGCTGTGCCTCTTTGCCTAGGCTCTCAGGGATTTTGCCAAAATTCTGAACCTGCTCTGGGGCAGAGGTGCACTTGGCAGTAGGAACTGGGGTGAAGGGGTTGGTTCTCTGCTTTAACTACACACCTGGGTCTACCGCTCCATTGTTTGGCCTCTGAGCCCATCTGCCTTGTCTCCTCCTTCCCCCTTTTCTCATGCCAGGTGGCCCTCAGGGTATCACAAGACAATTATCTAAAGGCTCTGATTTGCCCCAAAATGCCTGGGCTGGATGGGAATGGTAGGGTTGACTGGAAGATGGAACTTTGGTCTGGAAACAACTGTAGACAAATCACTCCCCCAACTCTAGGCCTCATCCTTCTCAATTGTAAAATGAGGGGTCAGATTCAATTATTGCTTCATTGCCCTTTAAAAAAGTTATGTTAGTTGTAGTAAATATTAATCTATAATCTATAGGTTATCCATAATCTATAATTACTAATCTATTAAATTAATAAAAATCTAATATAAAATTGCTCCTGCTTCATTATGAAGTGACATTAATATTTGTATTGGTTCCTGACACTTGCTAGTCCTTGTTCAGGTACATTTCAATTTTTATGTATTTATAGTAATAGCATAAGTAGGAATTTATATTTAACATTTTCAATTAACATTACACCATTTTTTCCTTTTCCTTTTTATACCTACACTCCCCCCCCATTCTAATCTTGCTGAGATAACCAATGTTAATAGCTTAGTTATGAATGCATTCGTATATGAATACAGCACAATGTACAGAATTTGCATTTGGGGGAAAGGGGTTAATATTTATTTTACAAAACTATATAATTTCTCTGCAACATTCATTTCTCATTTAGCCATATATTGTGGAAATCAAACCAGGCCAAGAGCTATAATTCCATAGTATGGATAAAGCTACAAGTTTACTCAACCACCATTCCCTGATTGATTGGGATTCGGGTTATTTCCAGTGGTTTATTTCTCTCCCCTCCATGCCCATTCACCCCATCCTATAAAAATAAGGGTCCTTGACATATTTATACTGGAAGATGCTAAATCTGGCTATCCTCATGGAAGAAAATACTGTTAAAACCTACCCTAGACAAAAATAAATTCCAGAAAGACTGCATATTTAAATGAGAAAATAAAACAAGGGAAGATAAAGAAGTAACCTTAGGGATATAGGTTATTTTTACCTCCCACCTCATCCTGTAAAAATAAGGCTGCCACAACATTTTCTACAAATACCTTCATAAATGGGTACTTGCTTATCTAGGGTATAAAATTCCAGAGGTGGGATTCCAGAGGACCTGTGTTCTTTTTAATTTCCACATCTACACAGGCAGTGGATGAGGGCATCTCTCGCCCCACATCCTCACCAGCACTTGCACTCATTAGTCCTTTTCGTGTTTGCCAGTCTGGGGGATGGGAAATAGTTTCTCAGGTTTCCCTTAATTGGCATTTGCCTGTTTACTATAAGGTGGAGCATCTTTCCATATAGTCACCAGCTCTTTGGATCTCCTCTTGTGTCAACTGGAATTCATATCCTTTGCCCATATATTTTTACTGGGTTTGTCTTTACACTATGAATTTGCGGGAATTCGAAGTAGGATATTAACGTGCTTTCTGTCACATGAGTTTCAAATATATTTTCCCATTCTGTCATTTTTATTTTGATTTAATAGGGTATCTTTTTTCATACTAGATGTTTTTATTTTGTGTAGTCAGACATGTTTATCTTTTTTCGACTGGTTTTTTAGTTTCCTGTTTTATTTTAAGCCTCCTTAACGCATAGGCTATATTCCTCAGGTTCCTTCTTTATCTTCCCTTGTTTTATTTTCTCATTTAAACATGCAGTCTCTCTGGAATTTATTTTTGTCTAAGGTAGGCTTCAACAGTATTTTCTTCCATGAGGATAGCCAGATTTAGCAGTTTCCAGTACAGACTGGCTTTGGACAAAGTGTCCTGAAGCTAAAGAAGTTTAAAAATCCCTTTCAGGTGATCTTTCGGGACCTTTCCAGGTCTGACATTCTCTGACTCCATAACGCCCAGTACAGCAACTGCTTGGTAAGAGAGAGAAGGCAATGGATAGTATCACTTATAAAAAAAAAAGTAATTTCAATATTAAACTCCAAGTTGGCTCAAAGTGTATATTAGAACCGCAGCATTTTAGAGGTGAAAGAGACCTGGGAAATTATGTAGTCTAATTGCTCTGCTGGGAACCTATAACAAGTCCTGGTGCCACCCCGCCTCACCCGCCCCTGAGCCAGGCGAGACCAAGTGAGTTAGTCCTTAGGGGTAGGGTCCAGGCAGGGATCAATTTTAAATTTCCTGGTGATTCTAATAAGCAGCCAGAGTTGAGAACCACTTCTCTAGTTCATCTCCCTTATTTCACCAATGAATAAACTGAGACCCAAAAGAGGTGAACTAGGTGTCACACAGCTGGCTAGCTGCACTGGAGCCCAGGTCTCTGCTTCCTGGATTGCTTTTCCATCCGTGTCAAACAAATCCATCAAGCACCATACCTTGGATTTTCAGCTGGCAACACTAAGGCCTCTGTGTGAGTGCTTTGTACCTTTGCATATGATCAGCTTTGAAATGTTTACTGTATGCAGTTCTGTGCATCACAGGTGGGTAGATGAGTTCTGCCTTGCCGGCCCTTAGTGGGGAATAGGGTAATAAAGAACTATGATGATAATAAAAGACAGAGGAAACAAATTGCTCCTACAACTGGAGGAGCCTACTGAGGGGAGGGAGGTGCAGAAGGTGGAAGAGTTCCCTTGGCAGGAAGTCAGGGGCACTGTAAGCAGGAGGTGGTGTTTGCATTGGGCCTCAATGGCAGAGCATCCTTGCTGGCAACTTTAGTGACACAGGGGTAAGGTTTCAGGGCAGGAAGGCCTTGGTGTGAGAGAGCTGTGCCGGGCCCAGCCTGTCCAGGCCGAGCTCTGACCTTCTTCCTCTGCTCTGCCCTCAGGAATGAGACCGTGCTGCACCAGTTCTGCTGCCCAGCCGCCGATGCCGAGCAGAAGCCCTCCTGCGCAGACCCTGCCTCCCAAAGGTGAGAAGTCATTGGTGGATGGTCCTCCCCTCCCCACCCACAGTCCTTCCCCTCGGAGCAAAGCACACACCACCGCACCATTTGGTCTCTTCCTGGAGTCTTGTGCTGTTTGTTTTTACTTCCTTCCTCGTACTTCCATTTCTCGTTGCCTCCTCTGGACCCCAGATGAGCCATTCCCTACCTTTGAGGTCATTATACCCTTTCCTATACTGCTCCCCTCTAAGTGACCTATGTAGGTCACATTTTTAAACATCAGGGAAATAAAGGTGGCTGTAATTACAGAGCACAATAGCTGCTTAACCAATGAGAGTTCCCACTGTCCTCTTAGATCAGATATTTCCATTTGTCTTCCTGATCTTTCTCCTTCCATAAGGAAGTCAAGATGGCTGATTTTAATTTCAGGGATTTTTCAACCTTCAATGAGTTATCTGACAACTTGGGAAGGAAGGCAAGTACTAGTGAAAAGTCGAGATTTGGTGTCACTGTCCCAAGCTTTCTCCTTCATCTTGTTTTGGGTTATTCAGATGCCCTCTTTCTTCCTGTCTCCTTCCCTTGTGTTCTCTCTCCATCATGCTTTCATCTTTCTCCTCCCACATTCATCTATCTGGCTGCCCTGCTGCTCCTCCATTCCCCTCCTCCCCGCCCACATCAGTTTCTGCACCCTCTCATCTTGATGTGTGTGCTGTCAGTCTCTGTCCCTTATTCCACTTCATTTTCTTCTCTTTCCCACCAATTTTTCCTGTCTCACAGTCCTGCATATTTCTCTTGTTCTTTACTTCACTCAGTCATGATCCTTCGATTTGAGACAAAAAACTTGCCCCAGGTACAGTCTCCTGTTGTCAGAATGAATTTGGGCAAGTGACATAACTCCCCTGGGCCTCAGTTTCCACATCAGTATAATGAAGGGGTTGGTCTGTCTAGAAAAATGACATTTACATGTAACCTCACTGAGCTTCTCACCTGCTTAAGAGAATAAGACCAGGCAGATTTTATAAGCCCTGTCTTACCTGAGAGGTGAGTGAGCTCAGAGCACTTATGGGATTGGCCCACAGTCCCACAGCCAGTAAGTACCGACGCCCAGATGCACACTGACGGGGTTTGACTCCCTGCTTGCCACTTCCAGGTTTAAGATTTAACAATCCCATCATCATTCCCTTTCTTCCTTGGAAAATAACTATTAATAGATAATAATCGGAGATGATGGCTATCGAACTTAAGGACAGAAAACACCCCACTGGAAGGCGTTACTGCTCATTTCCCTTAAAGAAGTCAGAGGGGCTGGGCATGAGGCAGGACTCTGAGGAGGGAACCAGGGCAGTGGGGCCACAGTAACGCCTCCAGACCCTTCAGTCCGGGTCTTCGGGAGGCATGGTGTTCCCTGCAGCCAACCACGTTAGAGGGCAGAAGGCAAAGGGAAGGACCAGGCTCTGTGCCATGCCTGGTAGTCTCTGTGCCATGTTCTGTGCCGGGACACAGGACAACGAAGGCCACTTGGATTCCCGGGAGCTCCCCATCTAGCGGGACACCGCAATGCCTCCAAGTGGGAAATGGCTCACCTAGAAACCGGAAGGAAGAAGAGAAATGAAAGAATGCGAAAGTGGAGAGAAAGGAGAGAGGACAGAGGGTGGAGTGGTGTGAGAGTGGTCTGGGAGGAAAGAAATAGGGGGCCCTGGCTTCTTCCATGAGCTGTCACTGTTCAGAGATATGTCTGAGTCTTCTTCCTAAAAATGTCCTCCCTGGCAGCGAAGGAGAAGCAAGGAAAGCTGTGTAGTCTGCCTCCCCCTCCATCAGTCCAACTTACTTCAGCGGACAGGTAATTGTTGCTCCCTGAGCACCAGGCATTGGTGAGGACGGGTAACTTCATATCCTCACAAAGTCGGTGCCAGGGGCCCCAGCAACAGAAATCTTCCCTTGACTTTTCCCTGGTCCTTCCTCTCTCTCACACTCACCCCTCCCACTCTTCCACGTGCTAACACTCTTCTGCTAGACCCACCCTGCAGTCTGGCTCCTGGGAGGAAGGGGTGGGAGAGAGGCCGGTATACGTGGAGGCAGGGAAGGGTGCTGCCCCTCATGGGACCTGGGCTCCAAGGGAAGAGGGTTATTTTCTAAGATTCGGGGTGGGATTGTAGCAAACCTATTGTCTGGGGAACCCCTTGAAGGGCAGGCCCCAAGCTTGGGGTGGAGGTGCTCTAGGGAGGGAGGTGGGTGGAAGGCTTTCTGACCTATGGCAGCCCTCCCCTCGGGTGGGGCAGGGACGCTTGCACCCAAATTGGTCCAGCTGTTGTCTGTCTCTGTCCCCAGGTATTCCAAGCTGTCCTGTCTGTCTGGTTTGTAGTTTCCTAGAGTGTGTTTCTGTTTGTCTGTCTGTCTCTCTGATGACAGTTTCTCGGCTTCTCTGGAAGAAGGCTACCTTGATGTTTTTGTTCAGTGTGTCAGTCGATCTGTCTGTGCTTGGATTCTTGGGGGAATTCCATCCTGAGATACATTTTCTCCCATCAGATTCCCAACATCCCTGCTCCCAACCCTATCCTTGACTCCTTCACAGTCCCGAATCCCTCTCCTTTAGCCAGGTGTCCCGCCTCCTGTGTAGCTCAAGCCCCGGTGAGTTTCTCTACAAGGAAGTAGAGGCCAGAGAGCAAGCTGACGGCAGCTCAGGGTGGGCGCGTCACAGAGCCATCCAAAGAGAGCCAGGCTCCTCCCCACTGGTCAGTCTGGTTTCCCACCAGCTCAGCCAGCCTTAAGCCCCTCCGAGCATTTCTCAGAATTAGCCTGTTGATCTCTACAGGAGACACCAATATAAGAAATCCAAACCAATCGTCAGATCTAGGGTCATTGAGGTCTTCCGTGTGACCTCAGAGCTGGTCACAGAGACCCCCCCCTCACCTTCTTCCTCTGTACCCCGACGCCAGTGGTGACCAAGGTCAGCACAAATGTTGGGGCTGGGGGCCTGTCTCCTCCCTGTCCCCAACCCAAGCTGTGGGACTGAGCAAAAATCGCTTTCCATGAGCCACTGGTCTCAAGCCCTGGGGCTGAATGGCAGCTGATCTGTGTAAGCCTATCACCCACAGCTGATCCTGGGGAGAGAGGAGCTGCTGCTGCCGCAACCTGAGGCAAACCCTCAGCCCAGGGGAGAGCCCCAGGGCCCCAGAGAGACCCTCACTTCCTTCCAAAGAGGGGGAAGCTCCAGCCTGTTAGTGTGTGCTGGCACAGCCTCCCCCGCCACCTGTAGAACAGCCTTTGAGGGATGGACTCAGGAGAAATCTCTCTGGGGACCTGGAGTCTGCCAGGTGGTGATGTTCCCAGAAGCGGGAAGAGCGAGTCCAGAAGCTGCTGTCTACAGAGGGAGGCTGAGTGGTAGGCATTGTGTCTTGGGTATAATGGAACAGTTATGGGGATGGCACAGAGTTATCATGGGCTCCATTGTGCTTAGGCTCACACATCCCTAGGCAGCACTCTATGCTTACCAGGGTAATAGGCCCTCAGGTGAGAGCTGGGCCCAGAGCCAGCCAGGGGCAGCAGGCCGTGCCAGCCTCTTTCATCCTCGCTGCTAGCTGACGGCAGGGCTTTATTCTGGGGAACTGAATAGACAGTAATTGCAGCCCTACTTTCTATGGGAGCAGGGACCCTCCCTCTCAGGCTCTTGGTGACGTTTGGAACAATGACCCTGGCGCTGGCCAGCTACCTACTGGCATCTAGCCCATTTGTCTCCGTGAGTGGCAACGAGGCAAGATGAGGAAGACGGGCTTCTATAAGGGCGATTTTGGGAGGCTGGGGGGGGGGGGGGGCGCGCATTAGAGAGAGGAGGTGCTAGGAGGAAACAGAACAACCCCAGCCCTGGGGAGCAGGAGGAGGAGATAGGAGTGTGGATGGTGGCATTCTGGGCCCCTGCAAATGAACTGATTCACCCTCAATATTTGGTCCTTCCTTCTCAACCACCCTGACCTGCTCCAGGATGGAAGACTCATATTTATTCAATATAGTATTTATTGGTCATGCCAGTGTTGTTGCACGGAGCACTATCAATATTTTATCTCACCAAATACTGTGAGATACTGCTATTCCCATTGACAGATAAGGAATCTAGGAAGGAGAGAAGTTTGGTATCTTTTTTAAAATACATATTTTATTGATTTTTTACAGAGAGGAAGGGAGAGGAAGGGAGAGAGTTAGACACATTGATGAGAGAGAAACATCGATCAGTTCCCTCCTGCACACCCCCCACTAGGGATGTGCCCGCAACCAAGGTACATACCTCTGACCGGAATCGAACCTGGGACCTTTCAGTCTGCAGGCTGACGCTCTATCCACTGAGCTAAACCGGTTTCTGCAGAAGTTCGATATTTTGATAGAGGAACCACTGCAGATCGGTTTGGAGCTGGAAGGTGAGCCCAGGTCTAACCTCTTTCCACCGAGCTTCTGCTAGGAGTTTTTTATTTAATAGCATAGCAGAAGTTTTTTGAGACATTTCATTTAATACTAAATAACACTTATTTTCTCTGATTACCAGTTACATTTGCTAGGAGTGGGAAATGTGAAAAATACAGGAACATAAAGAAAATAAAAATTGAATCCAGTCAGATGGAATTAACCACTGTCATTATATTAGTGCACAGGTTTCTGGGGTTTTATTTTCCTATGTACTGGGTTTTTCAGTGCCCTCATTAAAAAATAAGGACTTTGTGGCCTGCATTGCTCACTGACTGCATACATTCATTGAGAAAGCCACCTGCCCTAACCAGAACCTCCTGGTGCCTCCATCCTTCTTGCCTGTCACCTGCTAACTAGCCCGAAGACTGTGTGCAGCAGAGGCTGAGGCCCCTGAGGGAGGGACGCCCTTCCCAGGATGGCTATCCGGAAGAGCACTATGTTAGCTGGCACTGTCCTGTGCATCCGGGGACCTTCCTCTCTCTCCAGCCTGCCTTAGGCATGATCAATAGACTCGCCATGTTTACTCAACCATTATGGAGCAATTAAATTCTCAATCAATACAGTTTAGTCTT